TGAGAACGAAGCACGTTATCACGTTGGTCTTGAACACAACAATCAAGAATCCCGCGGAAACCGATGCAAGTTCCCGGTCGGTTCAACAACTGGGCTCGAGCTTCATTACCCTTTGCGCGAAGTTTCTGTTTGCTTATACTGAATACACCTTGCACTTGGTAAACTTCATCTCGCCTTAGCTTTGCTCCCCCCGGGGAGAATCTCCAAGATTTTTTCCCCGGTTTTAATCTCGATCGCAGAGGGAATCTTGATTTATGACCTACGATTCTCAAAAATCTAAGAATAGGTTCACGAGAGGTATCCAAGCGTGTTGTACGAGAATACTTAAAAATTTCGCTCGTCCAGAAAGGTTTGAATCTGCGATGCGTGTCGCGCGCATTGCAATAAAGATAATCTTCTAAAAATTATAAACACGTCACGGTCATCGAGAGAAGATTCTCCGAATCGGTCAAGCCGCATCTTTCAGGAATAAAATCAAAACTTTGTCGAGGATAAATAATCTGCTGATAAAATAGCATTACTGATTCGTTTCCAATGACTCGATCGTTTCGCTATGAAGGAACCTCTCGTTTCTTCCCTCTCGTGTATCGAGACACGTGCCTGTGTTCGCCAGAACATCCGTCTGGCGTTGGCAAGAAAAGATTCTATTTCTGGCGTGCGAACGTAAAATTCCGCACACCATTATTTACGTCTACTCATCTCTTCCAATCATTGCGGCGGATGATTGGAATACCCTGTCAAGCGTGAAAACCCATCCCGCCAATATTTTACTCGTCGATACTAACAGCCAACGGAATAAAGCGGGCGTGTGCCTCTGTATATACACGTGCTACACAAACAATAGCAGTATTCCCTTGTAAAATCCTATTGCCATGGATCCGTTTCAATGAAAAGGATCGTCAATCATTCTATTAATCAATTCAGCTACTGGCTGGATTAGTTCGAGAAAGCTGTCGACCCTTCTCCTTCCTCTTCATCCTATCGAATTAACAATCAGCCCGATGTTAATGATTTCGCTCTACGTACTATCTCGCCGATGACAACCTAACCTAAAAACAAACTGTTGGAAAAATTTAACCTAACTTGAGCAGATCTGATCGCGTTGATTGAGCATTTACAAATATAAACTGATTCTAATTTTTACCTAAGCAAACTGAAACGATAATTCTCGATTTCACCTAGAAAGTTGTAGTAAAATTTCAGTAATTTCCTGAACAGATTGTATCGTATAAATTTATTTATACTAAGCTAACCTGACCTGAAATTTAACTAATTTTTTACAAATTGATTACATTGCACGAATAATCCCTCGCCAATTTTTATTTCTGTAATAATAGCCTGAGCAAAATAAAATGATCTTCGATAACAATCTAACCTAAAAACTTAACTAATTTCCTGCGGACTGATCCCATTGCATAAATAATTATGTAATCTTGCTCAAATTTTTACTTTCATGATGATAAACCTCAGCGAATTAAAAT